CCCTCTGGTGTAAACAACATCTTCTAAATTGAAACTCTAATCTATATTAATTTAAAAGCACATTCTATATTAATTTAAAATCTATATTCATTTAAAAGCAAACCAGAACGATGTTAAATATTAACTAAGTGCATGATATCTTGTGAATATAGTGTCTTCAAAATGTACCGCCTGTTTAAGCTTAGTCACAAAGTTGATCAATTATCTTTGAAATCATTCAAGCCTCTTCGAAATTAATGAGGCCGTAGTTCCCCCCTCGTCCAATCCCACATGCAGTGTTCACAAAGACGGTCATATAGAGTAGGTTTCTAATCAATCAATACGTGATATTCACACAACAACACAACGAAAACATATTCACCTTGCAACCACACCCTTGGGCGAATTTAAAGACGGTGTGGTGAGTTTCGAGCGTCGAGCAACAACATTTCCTTGTGGTTGTTGAAGGTTTTGGGCCTTGCTTTTTCCTTTAAGTTGTGTTCTGTTGCCGATTCCTTCATCTGATTTAGCAGCACGAGACCTTACGCCTACTGTATCCGTTGGAACTTGGGGTAAACTTCTCCGTTGAATCGCTGAAAATAGTGGGAACGGAAGAGACATGAAATGATTGTAACATGAGGGGCAGACATATCAGTTCTTAAGCAGAACCACCTGTTTCCCTCTTTAAAGTTTTAATAATAATAACATCAAATAACTATGAGAATATTGGGGCGGGTTGTACGAAGACCAGTTTTGTGTTTACAAAATGGATGATCTTTTTGAGCGCATTCCGCAAACTAGGAAATATTGTTGCAGCAACAAAAATTACAAGATTTGTTGGAAAACATTATGGTTTTCAAGGAAACAATTTGTTTCTTTACAGTGGCCCGATTAATACTGCAGTCGAACCCCTATTAAGCTGACATCATCCAAATGTGTTCGCTTTTTCAAGCTTTTTTAAACTTTCCGTTGATTGGTATGAGCCAGAATGAACTATAGTATTCACAAATTAGTGTATCGTTTTATTGATGGTGAGGTCCATATTTAAGAATTTTTTCATGATTTGGTGTGCTCAATCGAGTTACTGAGCACGCGGGAAGTTGGAAGATCATGAAAAAGCGTAAGAGTCGGTTAAGGCGCTAGCCCATTCTTGTACCCAGAGTCCTTCTTACGCGCGGTAAACGGAGCGCGACGAGGGGCTCTGGCCAAATCCATATCAAACTGGCATCTGATTGGCCACAACGAAGGTTATTGTTCTAATACCGGATATTTAACAGTTATTACTCGAGTCGAATATGAGCTGATAGCCGATGAGGCGGGTAGCGCCGAATCGGCTATCGCTCATATTCGACGAGAGTGAGTGGAATAACTGTTTTATTATATACACAAGGTCTGAATTCAGATATTTGAAATCTGAATTCGGATATTTTCAATATTTTTCTATTTTGTTTATGTTTTTATCTTCGCTCTTTCGGCCGATTATTTTTTCAAAAATATATATTTTTAACAATTTTAAATTTTAAAAATTTATTTGCTAACCTGAAAACAAATTGTGGGAGTTTTTTCATTGTGTTTTTAATCCTGTGAAGGCTATAAAAAGCGACAACTTGCCGTTTTCTCGTTTGCAAAACATCGTAAATTCAGTTTGGCCGCCATTTTGTTTTTCTCTACTAGCAGGATATGAGCTAATATCCTGCTAGTAGAGAACCAATCAGATTGCAGAATACCTCGTATCCAGACCTTGTGTATATAATAAATTCTATTACCATGTTTTTATGGTATCCGGTTATGGATTCGGCCAGAGCCCCTCGTCGCACCGCGCGTAAGAAGGGCTCTGGATACGAGAATGGGCGCTAGCCGATCTAGAAAATAGCCTAATCGGACATTGCTAGCTTGCCACGGCAATGAAATGCAAGTGGGGCTTCAAAAGCTCAGAATAACCGAAATTTTATTGCCATTTTGATAATTCAAGCCTTTGCTTTCAATGGTAAAAAAGGGAGCATACATTGTTCATATTTATAACTGAGAATAAATAAAAAAAATTATTATTGTGCGTTTAAATTTTTGTGTTCACGCAGGATTTTCAAACGAAAGTGAACGTACAGTAAATTTACATTGCTGCCACCATGTTGAGTTTTCTTGTCTACTTTCCAAGTTCTGCTCTTCTTTTGTTAATTGCACTGCAGAACATATGCTGCAGAACACTCCAGTAATTGCATGCAATGCAGTGGAGTTACAAAAATAATTACACTGGTTCAGTTGGCCTACTAGTTTCAACTAGTTTCATGTATACCATTAGGCGCATCATAAAACGTCGTGCTGTTATTGTTTATCACATTTATTGCAAAAAAGAGCACCATGGCTTTTTAATTTGGAAAAATGCCGATTCGCAAGTCCGAATTTTTATCATAATAAAGTGATGTTTCTCACACAAACAAATCAATTACATTTTAATACCATGCAAACAAAGAACTTCAAGTACTTCATAAAGAAGTACCCTGGTTGCCGTGCAAAAAGTGAAAGAACTACTGAAGCAGAACAAATAAATGTGTACATACGTGCGCTGTCATCTGCGTCCAGTAAATCTTCCATGCTACCTCGAGATCCAGCTGTCCTTCGCGCAGCAACTGTCAAGTAAAGCAAAGTGGTTTGTATTGTTTGAATGTGCATTCATTTTACAAAACCAATCTAGTACGAGGACGCTACGAAAAGACGGTCACTATCGTCTATATTTTACTCCTGTCTCCGTCTTTGTTGACAGGGCGAACGAGAGGTTCCCGGGGTTCGGGGCAAAGCTTTCCCGGGGGCCCTATGACTTCATAAAATCTTCCAAGGGGCCCCTATGACTTTGCAATTGTTAAACGGGTGTTTTATAGTATATTATGCTTTATTATATATTGTTTTAAGGGCCTTGGTCGCTTTGGGGGGCCCTGCTGAGTTGGGGGCCAGGGCCTTGTTTGTTGATAATGGTAGATCATAGTTTTAGTCGTTATAACCAAAAGTGTAAAATTTAAGGCTCTTTCTTGCCGCGTCTCCGCACTAGATTAAGCCTTGCCAGGAAGGGTAAACGTTATGAATTTAAATATGGCACTGATGGTTCGGCATAAGATACACACAATATTTCATGCTGACCAAGAGATGAAACGCTTTACTTCGGATCTGTAGAAATAAAACATTTGCAAGAAAAATATGAGAAGGTTTTTGGGAGGAGAAAGGAATGTTTTAGGGTTTGTCTGTCGTTAGGGTTCTTGGTGGTTCCACATTTCGATGACATCCGTAGCAGACAGGGCTCGACATTTGTTGCAGGTTCTTGATGTTTGGGTGATCATTACGTTCTGAATACTTTTTACTGATTTGATCGATGGAAGCACTCTAAACTCTAAATACGGCGGTACAACTTGACTGGAGCTCCCATTTGAGTGGGGTTTCCAGAGTAGAGCTGACTTTTTCAAGTTGGGACCTCACCACAAATCTGAGCTTCTGTTTGGCCTTTTGAAGATAGGAATCCCGTGGAGGGGCCGTCTCTCAAACATCAGTTTGTTTCTTCTATCAGAAGGATTAATTACGTTTTGGGAATATTCTGCCCCAGGCTCCCCAAATATCTTGAATTCGAGTATAGACGTAAACGATCGCATTGCATTCTCGTACCCAGAGCCCTTTTTACGCGCGGTGCGACGAGGGGCTCGGCCAAATCCATATCAAACTGGCATCTGATTGGCTACAACGAAGGTTATTGTTCTAATACCGGATATATTCTTCTACCATGTTTTTATGGTATCCGGTTTTGGATTTGGCCAGAGCCCCTCGTCGCACCGCGCGTAAGAAGGGCTCTGGGTACGAGAATGATCGCATTGTTGATTTCATAATGATAAATATTTAACATATAAATTTGTTAAGATATATGTGAAAGGAAAAAAAGGAAAACATACTTCCAGATCCAGCGCCTGGTGATCTGGGTTGAAGCTTATTTCTTCTATCAGAACTTGGTGAAACTGATCTTCGTGCAACTGAACAGAGAAAAACAGGAGATTTAACAAATATAAAACATTTTCCGTGTTGATATACAGTTATATCAACACGAGTGCGAATTGGGAAAACGAGAAATTGTATGAAAACACGACGCCCAATGGGCAGAGTGTTTTCACCTCACACAATTTCGAGTTTTCCCAATTTCCACGAGTGTTGATATAACTATATATCAATACGAAAAAAATGTTTTATATTTTTTTATAATTTTGCACAAAGAAATATAAAGAAAGAAATTTTCCATGTTGATATTGAGATATGTCAACAAGGCGCTTAGCCAATCAGCGTTCAGAGTTTACAAATCCTATACTATAAATAGTGATATTACATTACTTTTTAGAAATACCTATTTGTCCATTTTTATAAATATCTGTGGTTACAGAAAAGTATAACAGCAAACATTAACATAATTATATATAGGTCAACACAGTTTTTACTTATACAGTAGGTGCAAATACTATATCTAATATAACATTGATATGACGTTCAAATTCTTCACATTATTTTGACTAAATCAGTGGTGTAGGACTGAAATGATAACAAGGGGGACTCTTAAAGGGGGCGTGGTGACAAGACGCGACAAAGCGTGCAGGGTGCAACATGATAAACATGGAAAGTTCCAGTATTTATTTTTCGTTCTAGTAATTCTTCAATTTGTGTTTTTCGAAGAAAAGGACTTAATTTTAACTTCAAATAAAAGACGGAATCATTTATTTCATAGAAGCTATCTCATGTTGGAGCCACGTACATGACCTAATAGTGTGATCATAGCAATCAAGTACAGATTACTAACGTCATTACCGCATCATTTCAACACTTTCCAGGAAAAGTTTTCGTTAGAGTGCGAGGGTGTCATTAGATTTTATCTGAATTGGAACTTTACCTTCAATGGTATTTTCTGGAGAGTTGCGAGTTACCAAAATGGTATTTTGGAGAGTTACCAAAATGGTATTTTCTGGAGAGTTGCGTCTTATTCACTACCGTAATCAAGAATCATGCAAACACACCATTTCATTTGTACCATATTTAGCGTTATTAACTTGTTAACTTAAGGTAATCAGGTATATAAATTTTTGTTTTATATTGAAAGGGCAGTTTTGTCCCGCTTGACCACTGCACAGCCCTCTGTTGGCGTCCCTGTACGTAATATATAAGGCATGAACAGCCGATCTGTATGTGATTCAAAAGGCGTACTGAAGACCAGACACAGATCGGATGCGAATGCTTTACATTTACCTTAATTCAAGGGCTATGGCAATGAAAGTAGAGTTTGTTTAGATAGAAAGAACTGCTTACTACTTACTGGTTAAACTGTAAAATAAGTTCTTTTACTCTTGAGATATTTTAGCTTTGTCTATTATGCAAATGAAATAAATCTATGACGTCACAAGCTGGTAAAATATTTTCAAAGATGTAGTCACGCCAAAATCATAAAGCTGACTGTTCGAAGTTGATGAAATCATTCAAGTCTATATTGATAATTCCATTCGTTAATCCTGCATACAAAAAATGAAGTTTTTAGAGTCTTGTGGACTGTCAAAAGTTTACCTATAGCTTGTGACATCATCTTATTTACATATCAAATAACTGAAATATACAGTAAAGATATATTCTACAGTTTAAGAAGTTCTTTCAATTCAAATACACTGAAACTTTGTTGCTAATACCCTAAGGGCCGGCGAGGAAATACCTGGGGCCTGGAGTACTCATGCAGAGGGGCCCGGAAATCTCGGTAAAATGTTCGTATCGTTATCATTGTTTTATGTTTGTCCTAAATGAAATACGCCTACTTGCACACTATCCGCTGATCGTCGTGATCGATCGTAAAACGTACCAAATGTGAAATAAACGATTTTTCGATCGTTTTCTCAGCAAAAACAGTTAGCTGAACATCGTTCACATTGCGTTTTTATCAGTTATGCGGCGATTTCTTGCAAGTAATTCTCTCGTTGATTGCGATTAAAAATAGCCAGAGGGAGAGTCGAGAGGGACATGGGGTCCGCGTTCACCAATCGTCATTTTGTCCCGGGGCCCGTGGTTGGCTCTCGCCGGCCTTGATACCCTTTAAGTAATCAAGTTTACCAACTATTTTAACGATATGGTTTGTTTTAGCCAAGAAAATCGAAGCTAAAGTTTATGTAAATCAGGACGATTCTTTAACCGATTTACAGATAATAATTTCTTTTGTATTTTATTCAAGAATTATTTTGAAATTATTATTTAAAGTACCATCTAAAATATATCATCCAGGATTTACGCTCTCACTTTAAAAAATAAATTTACCTGTTGAATCAGGTTTCGATTTTTGTTTGTTCATTTGACTGATAGGTCCTGCATACCACAGTTGTTTAGATAGACCTTCAGATGATGGTTTAGGTAAGGCAAGTGCTGAACGTCTCACGGTAGGACCTACGGAACAAACATTACGTTTTATACTTTCACAAACTGACAAGTCTAGTGTTGTTCTTGCATATAGCTAGTAAATAATTTGCGTTTAGAATGGAATACGGTGTTTACGAATGTTTTCTATTCTTGAACTGTGGAAATCGATTGACTGAGCAGACATTTCAATGCAATTTTCGTTCCCTAATTTCCTAACTAATATTTCACACCCAAACTACTCGAAATATACATTAGATTCTGATATGCGTGTGAGGGATAACATTTTAGGGATAACATATATTTTAAATCAGCTAAATTGTTTATGAATTTTAGGCAAAAACGCTGGCAAACCTTTATCGTTCATATCGTCTGCGTCAAGATCATCCTGACTGCTTTGAGAACTTGTATCCAGATTACCTCTTTCTGCCACATCTGTCAGCAGCAATAAATAAACATCAGATTCAATCACAAAGATTGAAGTATATGTTGTATTGAAGTATATAAATTATTGTATTAATTAAGATTGAAGTATATACTGTATTGAATATTGTATTAATTAAGATTGAAGTATATATAAGGTATATATGGCTTTTCTAGAAATAGCCACTGAGTGCATGTAGCAAGGATTATGATGACTGTTGAATGTAGGATGCAACCAGTGGATGCAACCATCTGACGAATAAGAACAAACTTCGACATTTAAGAGAAGGCTCTTCGTCTGGGAGTTAATAGAGAGTTTTGAGCAAGAGAACGAACTTTATCGGATCGAGTGTGTAAACTTTGTAAGGAAAATAAGGAACGCTGCTGAACTATATAAATTTGTAAAGGAAGAACGATAATTAAAGAACAAAACGATACGGTTTCAGACGATCTGAGCGAGAGAAGCAAACGGCAGTTGCCAAGAAATCACACAACGAAAGTGTAAAGAAATGTGTGTGTCAAATCTAGTACTAGAAAGTCTTTTCCTCGACACAGAAGAACGAGATTCCCCATCGCAGGACAAGTTGTTAACAACAACGACACTTACGACAGCAAATCGAAGCAACTTTCTCGATCAATTTAAAAGGATAGCGAATAGGCTAAGTTGAAAGTGATTATAGCGTATGGACTATCGTGATTATAGTAATTATAGTGATTTAAGCATCCACGGACGAGAAACATTGCCGTTCCATATCTTTTAGCTGGTCTTAAAATATAAATGCTATTCAATGGGGATATTACAATAATAGCTGCTTTCCCTGACGTTTGATAATCACGCGCTCGTACGAAAGCTTGGTAAATCAAACTTTTGCCATAACCTGTCGGTAATACAGCAAAAACATCTTTTCCTTCTAAAAGGTCCCGAACTGCTTTATATTGCTCCTCTTTCAGTTGAATACAGTGGTCAGTCGCCAACTGAATATCGCTAATCACTTTACAAAAAACTTCGTCAATACTCCCTTCTATACTAAGGCCGCTATTTTGAACTCATCTAAAACCACAGGGACTACAGGGAATATAATTGGGAAACCCCTGATGACTGATTAGCCAATCAGAATTTCGATTAGCCAATCAGAATATAATGTCATTCGATGAATTTTCGCGGCAAAAACAAAGCAAAACTAATTTGCAATTCATCTATTGACATTAAATGGGAAAGTCGACCAAGATGGGAAAGTCGACCAAGATGAGGTTTTGTACTATAAAGACATGGGTATATTACATTTCTTTTTGGAATGAGCCAAATATTATACAAATCGAAACGAAAATCATATTTGGGTTATTGACACTTGAGGTATTAACAAACCTGTGGGCGGTTTCCTGCGAGATCGGGGTTGCATACGAGAACCTGGGGATGTGTTCACTAGTGCTCTTTGAGATTCTGGTGACCCATTTAATTCAGGAGACGTTTTCGTGTCTTTAGGTAAAGCTGATCGACGTAGAATAGGGCCTAAAATGTATAAAAATTCCACTCGAAATCTCCATCTACAAATTCCTTCAACAAGTAGTTATAGTGAGATGCCCCAAATCCTGATATTTAATAGTTATTCTACGAACTCGAGTCGAATATGAGCTGATAGCCGATGAGGCGCGTAGCGCCGAATCGGCTATCGCTCATATTCAACGAGAGTGAATGGAATAACTGTTTTATTATATACACAAGGTCTGAATTCACAGACTTTGCTTTTCGAATATTTTCAATATTTTTCTATTTTGACTTTTGTTTTATTTGTTTTTATCTTCGCTCTTTCGGCCGATTATTTTTTCAAAAATATATATTTTTAACCATTTTAAATTTTAAAAATTTATTTGCTAACCTGAAAACAATTTGTGGGAGTTTTTTCATTGTGTTTTTAATCCTGTAAAGGTTATAAAAAGCGACAACTTGCTGTTTTCTCGTTTGCAAAACATCGTAAATTCAGTTTGGCCGCCATTTTGTTTTTCTCTACTAGCAGGATATGAGCTAATATCCTGCTAGTAGAGAACCAATCAGATTGCAGAATACCTCATATCCAGACCTTGTGTATATAATAATTACCCATACACCTTGGCATCACCTTATAGTATGTACATGAACTTGCGGTTAGAGCTTGACAACTGTCTCTCTGTAGCTCAGTTGGCTAGAGCGCTACACCGGAATCGCAGGGCCGCAAGTTCGATTCCTCCTAGAGGGTCTACACTTCGTGACTGCTCCTGGTCTTAGCTAGGATCTTAGATCTTGAGCGTGTTTCTAAATGACCAGGGTGTGCATATTTGTAGTTATGCTAGCCAACAACAGACAATGCCTGCATGTCGTTGTTGTATGCTTTGCAACCAAATACAAGGCTAGTTCACATTGCGTACTGACATTAAAATTTTAAGTTATTTCAGCAACTCTTGGGGGTATTTAAACCATTTTAATACCATATGGTCTCATTATCCATCAAAACATTAAAACATCACGGATCACTTTTTCCAATTTCAACAACTACAGTAGATTTTAGAAACTTTCTTACGACGTAAATTGGAAGAAATTCTGTCTGTTGTAAGTAGGAACACCTTATTTTATGAACCTATACACGACCTTATATAAATAATGAAGCCGCGTTCATTTTATCTAGCCGTGTTTTTCTGTTTTTGGCCGCGATAACACGGCCAACACGGCCCTCCAGCTAAGACCCTGATCCTGGTTGGGTCTAATAAATGTATTCCTTCAACAATTCGATTGAGATGCCCCAAAATCCTGATATTTATCTAGAAGAAATATTCCTTCCCAGCATATCGACTTTACAAAGGTGTTCCAAGTGCATGCATGGCAACGTGCCAATGCGATAAACATTTTTTGATTATTCATGAATTTGTCTATAATTTACCATGCAAAACAATTTACAGTACTTTTCTACCTATGTTACAGGAGTGTGTATTCAAATTGAACAGCAAACTTAAGGCCATGTTACACGGTGCAATTTTTGCTGCGATTTTAGGCGGGATTTTCTTCTTCTGATGGATGTGAACGAGTGGAAGAATTATGAATGTTCAGAAGAGGGTATACCAGTATACGTATAGTCGGAACATGCATACTCATCTACTCGTTCACATCTATCAGAAGATATATATAAAGCAATCTTTATAAAGCAATGTTTTTTCCATTACGGACACGTCAAGAAAAAACACTACCAAGTGTTTTTTGGCTCGAAACAAGAATTTGATATTCCAAGCATTCTTGAAGATCATACATGATCACACAGGACATGATGAGAGCTGACAGAACGTCGAAGTTTCTGTTTGTATTTTTCAAGTATAGTTCTACAGTATCCCTCTCAATCCCCAGCTATCTGTTGTTGTCGCTACCTACTACGTTTTCTTATTTTAAGAAGAAAACAACTTGTTTTAAGAAAAAATTTCTTGGGAGAGTAATAAGAAAAATTCTTACTATGTTTTCTTAA